TCCTAGTCGACAATGGCGCCGGTAAGTCGAACCACTATGCAAAAATATATATCTAATATTTTCAACAATTGAAAATTTCACAATTTTCTATTTTATTATCTTAAAATCATGGCTGCGAAACATCCGGGAGTGGACCGGCATTATATCTGTCGAACAATTGTTCCGCATGGCTACCGACAAGGAGAAATACAAGAAGCTGACGGCCGACCTTCAACATTAAAGAGGCACTATAAGAAGAAGAAGAATCTTAAAATTCATCCAGAATACACTTTGCATTAGCAAAAGGCGTATCTAAGGATTATGTATCTAAACAAAAACTAAACAGATAATACTTTTGTTTTCAGACATAGAAATAGCAAATCGTCACGGGCACACGTGTTTAATGATAGCGTGCTACAAAGGCCACATTAGAATCGCTAAGTACTTGTTATCACTTAATGCCGACGTGAACAGAAAGAGTGTAAAAGGAAACACCGCGCTACACGACTGCGCAGAGAGCGGCTCACTCAATATACTCAAAATGCTGTTGGGGCACGGAGCTACTATGGACGTAGATTCATACGGTAAATAATTTCATCTTATTATATTAATTTCCAATGATTTTTAGTCAATATTAATTCATTCTATAGATGCAAACATATTAACGTATCCTTGTTTTGTTCCGCAGGTATGACACCACTCCTAGCAGCATCTGTTACAGGACACACACATATAGTAGAACACCTTATAAATGCTGAACATGGACTTGTAACGAGACAACAGCGCATCGACGCGCTAGAGCTGCTCGGGGCGACCTATGTGGACAAACGACGCGACATGGTCGGGGCGCTGGCATTGTGGAAGAGAGCCATGGACGACAGGTATATTATTAACATAATTCCAAGTATTGTCTCTAAAAGAAGTAGAATACTTACAGGTTTTTAAAATTACTCTTATGTGGTTTCAGATTCCCTGCGGACGGTAGCGAACCCATTCCCAAGCCTAAAGACGTCCCACGCATAGAAGCTTACGACTTTGCGGTGGAGCCCAGCAATGCGCAACAACTAGAGGAAATACTCGCCGACCCCGACGGCATGCGGATGCAGGCCTTGGTGATCCGAGAGAGGATCCTGGGCCCGGCGCACCCCGACACGTCGTACTACGTGCGCTACCGCGGCGCCGTGTACGCGGACGCCGGCCGCTTCGTGCGCTGCCGCCAGCTCTGGCACCACGCGCTCGACATGCAGCGCGCCGTGCTGCCGCCGCTGTCGCCGCTGACGCAGTCGTCGCTGTACTCCTTCGCCGAGCTCTTCTCCTACATGCTGGCCGAGCGCGCGCGCCCGCCGCTGCGCGGCCGCATCGTGCCGCCCGTCACCTTCGAGGACATCGAGCCCGTGTTCTCCAAGGCCCTGGACGAGATCCACCGCGGCACCGAGCTGCTGGACTCCAAGCTCAGCATCGACCGCGAGCAGACGCTCAGCACGCTGCAGCGAGTGCTCGTCATCTCGCTGCACCTCGCCGCGCTCATGGCCCGTCTGCTGGAGGAGCCCGACTGTACTGAGGACGTGTCCAGAAAGATTCACAAGGCTGTATATTCACTCGTTAAGTTAGACATTACGGTGAGTGTTCATCATTTTAAAACATTATAACAATTTGAAGGTATTATGTATAACCTTTTGAATATGAGACAATAGAAAATACATTGTCTCGCGTGGATCCACGTCTTAGATACACGAAAGGTTAAATGACTTCAAATTATGGATGAGCTTTAAAAAACAAATTGATAACATTGTGCCCGTGTAGAAATTAGGAAGCATCACAGCAAAATGAGTTTAGTGATCGTGGGGATATGTTCATTGTACAGAAATAAATATCATTGAGTTTGACACTATGAATGACTCGTTTCAGTTTTCAGACAGTAACAAAAAAAATTGGAGGTGTCGTAGTCGAGATCGTGAGATTATAGAAACGTGTTGCATGTTGCAGGTCCGGCAGGGCCGGTCCGCGCTGCACGTGGCGTGCTCGGCCGAGGGGGCGCGGGGGCGCGGAGGGCGCGCCTGGCTGGCCACTGAGCCCTCGCCCCCCGCGCCCCCGGCCCGCCTGGTCACGCTCATGCTGCGACTGGGCGCGTCCCCGGACGCGCGGGACGCCGACGGCAACACTCCGCTGCACCTCGTCTGCAAGGTACACGTCTATGCTGCCATATTGACCAGTTTCATACGCAGTATTTACTCGACGCGTCCTCATGGCCCATTGGTATGTCGCAGCTGAACCCGTGCCCCGCGGAGGTGGTCCGCGAGTTGCTGGCGCACGGCGCCCACATCGACACGGTGAACTACGAGGGCGAGACGGCGGAGCAGATCCTGAAGGCGTCGTCGCAGAGCCTGTCGGGCATGGTGAACCCGCTGCGCTACACGTCGCTGCGCTGCCTGGCGGCGCGCACGGTCAAGAACTACCGCCTGCCGTACCGACACGTGCTGCCGCTGTGTCTGTACTCCACGGTCCTCACGCACTGACCGACGCCCGCCCACTGCGTTTTGAGACTTGTACTTTTGTTTAAATCGTTATTTTAGCGTTTTAGATTGGAATGATCAGTGTATATTTTAGGATCTTTTTGAGGCTACGTATTCTTTTAATTCGTTGTAATACCACCGGATTCGATACCTTTACTTGATAAACTGCCATACGAAATAGACTCATAAGGCAAAGGTATGATTCGGGTTTATACTAAAATTGAGAACAAAGGAGAACTTAGATATTAGTGTAGTCAAAGAAGCGATTAACGTCAACGCCTGCCGTCTAGGGTAAAGTTATTATAGGTAGTTGGAATGTCAGTTTTAGCATAAACTTGGTGTTACTCTGATGTCTAATTTGTCACAGTATTGTAAAATCGGTAGCTCAGCTCAAAGCGGAATTTATATGTTACTATGTATTATATCAATACGATTTACTAGTATAACTTCATGATTCTGTGAATTTATGTTTTATACTTAGTTTTTCTTTTTAGTTAACTCTCATAGTTTATACATTTCAAATCTATTATTGTATCGTATTGATTAATGATTATTTTATAATTGTATTGTCCATTGACCGTATGAATGAAGGTACTGTAGCATTATTTTTGTACGTGTCAAAGGTTGCAAATATATAACGTCCTTATAATTATTGGTAGTTTGAAAGGTACCATTTAGAAATAAAATTTCAGTGCTGTGCCGTACGTGATTTGAATAGATGTAATTATGTACATTGGGATAAGATGAACTTTTTAATATAATATATAGTTTATGTATCAGCAAAATTACTGTTGGCGCTTCGGGGCGCCTGGTACAAGGAGTGACGATGCTCTTTATAATGGGTATTACGTAATACAATCACCATCCATGTCACAAATATTATTTTAAACATTTCTATTCGAAGCTCAAATAAAATGGTTATTTTGTAATTTCCATATCATAATGACCTCTATGGATGGATATAGTTTCCTACAGGTGAAGGTAGACTATGTGAAATTTCGCAATGATTATAAATAGATGAAGCTGACTGATGGCAATCACACTATGTTATGTACATATATTACAGGATCTCGCAGAACGATAGAGCCATAGCTAACTGTTCTACTAGATAACTTTGATTAACTTAATTTTTGGACTGTAATACAAGATGACTTGATCTGTTTGTAATCGTTGGCGTGTCCGTGATATTTGCTTTTATTATTTGACTATGACTGTGACGCTGCGTCGTTGCACGGTTGGACTAGAGTCACTAATCGAGTGTTATCGACTTAAATCCTATCTCTAGTCCTCTATTATTTTAGTACATCTTGGACTTATTACACTAACAATTTTATTTGTACGTGATCATCGCTTTATGCATATATCAATGTAAAAACAAATTAGACGTAAGTAGGCATATTAGAAATTAACGGAGATACGTATAAATTGGTATTGTATATTATTAGTAAATTGGATAACGACAAAGTAAACTACTAGTACTGAATTGTTAAACAGTTGTAATTTTGTAACAACGATATTGTTCGCTACTTTGTGTGTATTTCCTTATAGTATATTATTGTAAATTTAGTAATACTGCGTGATTATATGCTAGTTATTTTTGAAATTAATAAAATGCTTTAAAATAATACGTTTGATATTTTATTATGGGTGCCTCCCTTATTACTCTGTATGCGCAAACAAACGAGACCCCATTGTACCTCAAAATGTCAAAAACCGATCACATTCACCTAACAAGATAATAGGCGTGTCGACAGGGTATAAAAATCAAAAAGTAATTAGTCCGTCATTAAGATCGCACGAAAATATCAGACACGTATTTTTTGTTTTATCAAATTAACAGAAGAATACGTAGTTATTTCGCATTAATGTTAGGGAGTGGGGGGTGTTGACGTCACACTTACGGAGAAATCGTACCTAATTGTGACGTCACGCGTCATTTTAACTCAAAATATCTACATGTTTTTTTGGATACGAGAAAAAAGAAAAAATACGTATCGAAGATTTTTAAAATATCTAAAAGACGGACAAAAAATTAAAAAATAGTCGCCACGCCTATTAAGCCATTGTTCATTAATTATACAATACTTAGCATTGTCATTAATATTCTTATTATATCTCTATATACATAGTAATGCGTAATGTGTACACATTAACAGTAACATTACAATGTAATGTTACTACTGCAGTTGTTGTAATGGTTACAACTAAACTCGAAACATGAATTTGTAAAATTCCCACTAGTCCCCTAGAGGGGCAAAATTAAGGGTGACGAGCAGGAATGACAGAGTTAGAGCAGCGTTTCAAAATCATTGTTTATTTTAAAAATAATCTTGGGAGTTATACAATAGTTTGGTGTAGTAACGGACCTGCAACTGGATAATTTGTCTATTAGCCCATAAATGATGATTAACAGCCCACTGTAATGTAAATAGTACTATGTATGAAGATCTGTTTAACTGGCCAAGATAAAGATCAACTACATAGCTACAAAATAATTGACACACCAGATCATCTCTAAGTTTGATTTATTAAGAAAAATATACAAATATATGATATTATAATGCTGAATATCAATGTATCGATGTGCCATGCAGTTAATGGTCGTACCATCTGCAAATAAGAGGCGTGAAACATATTATATTATTATGTAACTTGATGGAAAAGTGTGTGTTGTATACAACACAGATAACTTAGACCAGTGTATGCATGACACAACCAATCAATCCTGGAACAAGCCCTTAAATTCATGCGTGTCATTGAGTAGCGTGTCCAACTCCTGTAAGGAAGCCCCTGGAAACATCGTCCAAATGAGTTTCACTGCTACCATACGGCTTTTCAACATCTTCGCCATGGTAACTCCTTCAGCATCCTTGATATTACCCATCTTTATGACCAGTTCGGCGGGAAGCTTTTTCAACTGAAATTTGCGCAGTCCGCATATAAGAGGCCAGAAGGAGAAACACTGTATCATGTGCTCTGTGCCACTCACGGCAGATAAGTAAAGTTTGCACTTGTCGTGATCGTTTTGATCCCATACCAAGCCAAGCTCTTTCGGTTCGCTAGACTGTATTTTCAAGAATTTTTTCCGGTTCTCAAAAACATAAGCAGCAGTGAGGCCCATCAGACGGTTGTACGTGATTTCATAATCCTCCACTTTGGTTTTTGGTCCGGTTTTCTTTATGAGCAATGGAGTGCTGGAACAATGAACAACAAGTCACAAAAATAATACGGTTCACATCATAATGTAGATCTAAATAGGTAAGTATAGACGTGCATGACTTCGGATTTCGATGGAGGAAAAGCCGGGGAGTCGTCATGGCGAAGACCGCGCGGAGGCCAGGGTGGAGTATACAGTGTCGCTGTGCCCTGCATGGGCTGAGCGGCTGAGCTTTTGCGGCGGTGCGGCGTGAGACGAACTTAGTAGCCGTCTCCTTCTGCAAAAGTCATGCTAGCAAAGAGTCTAGAATTCTACATGAAACATACGTGTGTTCTAGATTCATTCCGTCAACGAGTAGCACACTCCCAGGTTGGATTGACTTTAGTTTCTGTCTCAACTCGTAACCGCGTGCCAGCAGCATCTCGATATTAGCATCAGAACGTAAGAATTCTGCATCCTTATACACACAGTAAAAATTAGGCCCATTGAACGTGACTTGTGGTTTTTCCTTCCCAGAACTCTTGGTTTCAGGCTTGAATGTGAATTTCTCCATGGCTTCGACTGCAATGAAAGCAACATTTAGCGTCACAACTATTTACCTAAGTAGTAGGTGAACAAATGGATGGCCGTAATAAATTTGAATATTTTAGTTTAACTAACATTATAAAGGATAATGCTTCAAAAATCTATGGAGCAACAGTCCAGTAGCGATTAACATCACACTAATACCTATTATAAATGTGAAAGTTTCCTTGTTTGTATGTTTGACCGTCAATCACGCCGAAACTATTGAATGGATTTTGATGAAATTTACAGTTATATGTACCTCATAGGTGATAGGATACTAAAATTAAAAAAACAAACTTTTTATCCCGATTAAATGCTCCCATGGGATAAAACCTGAATACGCGGGCAACGCAACGTGTAAAATCTAGTAATTTATATGCGGCAAGCTAGAATATTAGGTACATAGTTTATCTCAAATTCAATTAATGTTTTCGATGAAACCATCTGTACGGGCTGTTTGCTCTCGTACATATGATGCTGTGTGTAGTTGGTGTCGGTATGATCCCGAAGTGTAAATTCTAATTATGAATTGTGTAAATTAATAATAAAAATTATACATAATATAAAGATCATCATAGTAATGAAGAACTGTGTCGCATTTCAGCAGTCTGTAATATTCAACTGGCTGCTGCATCAAGGTACGATCAATAAAAGAGGAAAAGATTGGGTAATATACCTGTCAGCCCTTGTAGTTTATATTTACCAAAAATAAGTACGAGATACTTCACGATCTACGTCCACCCAATCTCACGACAAGCTTTTACATCATTTGAATTGAACAGCATTTATTTTTTTTTTTTATTTATTTATTTGTCTCAGGCATCTTGGCCCATAGTGAAATATACAATAATACAATACAAATAATTCAGGTTGCAAATACTATACACACATATACATAATATTTAATTTTACTGCTTATTTTACACGAAGTATCGGAGTCGTGTGTCGCTCGGTGTCTGGTATCCGGCCTCGAAATCGCCGGAACACTACACATTTCGGCCAAAATTCTTCCTTCATAAGAATCGACAGGTGTTCAGTGGGCACCCTCACCACAAAGGAATTGAAGTTTGTATTATGACGAGACTCCAACCGCTCGACTCTCATGACGAATTTGGATTTCACTCGGATGTACTCTACGATCTCCTCAACCTTTGTAGTGTAATGCAGCCGGGACACGTACAGCAGCGTCGTTGGTGTGGCAGGACGCAGCAGAAAGTTAGGTCCAGTCGGTGCGGTGCCGCACTGGTTCCGACAAGTGGGTTTCCTCTTCTTTCGCTTCTCCACCGTGATGAAACCATCTTCGTCAGAACCCCGTTGTTTCCAATCTTTGTGGACACATTCACGATTCTGTTTTCCCCCTATTTGCTTATCCTGGGATTTAGCAGGTTTGCTGGCAGCGGTAATATCGGCGTAAGCACGCTTAAGGGGCGATGTGCTCATGCGTGTCGTAACCTGACCTGAAGTCGACAGTCGGTCAGCTGCGGCGGCACGTGATGCATCGCTAGCAGAATTGATAGCGCCCGGTGACGTATTCGCCTCCTCAAAACTGCGTGCTACAGCAACTTGCGCACCGCGACGAGTGTTCACGTTAGAGGTGTCAAGTGGCCTACATTCCGAAACCGCACTGCGTAGCAGCACTATGTCGGCACGTAATTCACTAATGGTGTTATCAGAAACCTCTAACTTAGACTGCATCTCCACCAGGCTGGTTTTCAGGAACAAGATGTCTTTCAGTAGCCTGGTAACATCAACATGATCGAATGTCACGGGAGGGAGCCTGTGCAGCTCCTTCGCCACGAATGTTGGCACGTCGTCTGGATCGGTCACCTTTAATATCGAGATGATGTCCTGAATGCTTTTCTCAGTTCCATCCCTTCTTCGAGTCGGCATCTGGTCGAGCTTCCCCAGTGATTGGAAAATGAGCTGCTTGCCCTTGCTAATCTCATCTTCTTTGAAGTTGGATTTGCAGATCTGCATAATGCTCACTTCGTCCATGGTATCTATGGCATGTTGTATGAATGCCAACAGTTCGTTGGCTATGAGTTGATGCGAACTCATAGCGAATAATAACGTGCAGCGGCAGGAGCCGCGCAGTTTGCGTAGAAATAAAAATGACACGTCCGTACTCGACCGCGTATTGCAATGTATTTATGGTCATGCAAATTGGAACGTATAGAGTACCTGGGTGTTTCTTCAAAAAACTTTAACTTTTATTTAAACTGTCAAACACCAAGCGGTCACCGGTGACCGCAACCTATTGTTCTATAATTGTGTCTACAAAACCGGTACCTACTCGACGAGTTAACAAATCATTATCCTCCCGCGTTGTTAAGCATCGCAGTAACTTATTAGCATCTGTTTTTTATTGCATTGGGTGAGAGCAGTGACATGGCTCAATTTTTTGAAACTAAACTTTGTATTTTAATCAGCAAAATTGTTAACTGTGGCTTGAGGATAATGACGCCGTTAATTTTTTGGTTTTTTTTTTTGGAGAATCACCACCTACTGTAGGTACTATATGTTGAAGATAATTATGTACTTCACAAAGTCGCATGATTCCACTTCACGCACATACATACATATACTTGCATACTTAACTACATTGAAAGATAATTAAAAACTTGTAATTAAAAGAAATGACTTACCTATTATTTATTACTAGGTAAGGAATCTGGACGTTTGTAATGTTCAAATGCACACACAATAAAAATTTCGTATGCTGTAGGTATTCTAAACAATTACGACTTCAGTTTCCTAGTAAAGTCACTACAATAAACAGAGATAATAATATTGTAAGTTATAAACACGTAGGTATATATAGTAGGTACTACATTACATAAATGTAAGAAGTCGACTATAATCGAATACATGATTGTAATCGATTCTGACACATTTTTTTACCTGTATATCTCTGATATGACGTACGTTATTATGTACCGTATTAAAAATTATAAATACTGTGCTAAATCAGTTTTTACGTCGACTCACATCATTAAATTAAACTAAAATAATCAATAATACGTCATTTAAGAAAATAAAACAATTAATTACCTATATTACGCGATTTCACGACATAAGTATTCTATTAATTAACACATAATAAGCAAAATTTAAGTCCTGAAATTATGATTGTTGTCAGTTTAGTTTTTCAAAATGAATCGTCTAAAAGTTCCTAACACCACAACTTTGCTCTTTTTAATGTTGTCTGTGGTTGGTATTTTCCCTAACCGCTTGCTTGGTCTTGTTCTCGTATCGTACTACTTTTACTAAAACAGTACCTACATTTTTTGTATTAAAGGGCATGGAAGGGGATGGGGATTGTATTTGGATATTTTGAACTATATCCGACGAGGAATCGAAGACGCTAATACAAAGATTGATGAAATGTCTTATGTGTAGTATAGTGCCATCTATTTGAGTCTCTTTGAAACTAAAACTTGGTCATTTACGTAGATACGTAATGGAAATACTTTTTTAACTTATTCCAAAAAGATAGGTAGATGTTTTTTGATTAAGATTGGCCATTTATTTTAGAAGTTTTACACTATCAGAAAATCATTATATTAAACTGTGGTTATTAAAAAGTTTATAGTTATTTATTTCGATAAGAGATGGCGCCACAACACAAGAAATGTACAGGTTCCATGAATTTGTATTTTGCTTCATGACACTCTGTTGTTAGATCTACTTACAAGATAATTACACTAGGTACTATTGATAATTAAAACATTTCGTTGTTTGTTTGTTGATCTAATTAATATTCACAACGAATGTCTTAGGCATTAGGTACCTACATCACCTTATAGAAATATTCTAACTTAGAAGATTTGACATTAGAGAGTACGGTTGTATTGTACTATTGTACGTACGTAATCGTGATTATGTTTTATAATGCATTCCTAAAGAATCCAGACCTACTTCAAAGAAATTTTCTAAATTGGTTGTAGGCGAAGCCGCACGCAGAAATTATAATTATGTATAAGGTGTAATTAAACTAGGAAAATACTTTACTAAATAGGAAAATACTTTACACAGATACTAAATACCAAACCTGGTATTTAGTATCTCGTGCTTAATTAATGGTAACAAACAACTTCCCCAAAGAATATTCTAAACTATTTTATTTTAAAGTCATTAATTCCACTTTGTCACAAAAAACACAACAAATTTTGTAGATATTAAATAAGTTAGTTATTATTTAATTAAAAAGTGAAATAAAGAAGTTAAATACTTATAAAATTAAAAAAATCAGGGTGCCATTGGATGCAAGTGGTAAGTTCCGTTAAGAGTAGGTGACTAAACAGGCCCTTGTTTTTATAATAACTATCGTGAGACATACTAAATTAAGTAAATACGCGGGCTACTCACGTGAATATACTGAGAAAAACTCTACTAGTTTCGAACCACAGAGTGGTTCTTCCTCATGAACTGCGCGACGTCGCCGCGACGCCCACGCTGCCATATACCAGGCACAATTCGAGACTCCGTGCTAATACTGAGATTTTTTTTTAAAACCCAGTAATACTTTGCCCTACCCGGGAATCGAACTCGAGACCCCTTGCCTAGCAGTCGCACTTGCGACCACTCGGCCAACGAGGCAGTCTTAGGAGGTCAATGAGGTTCTTACTACTATATCAAAATTATTGTATTCTATCTACTAATTTTTATATTAATGTCTGCCTTGTAGATTATTTTAAAACATTGCACATGAAAAAAATACTTTCGACATTATATTGATTTGAAATATCATGTCGTTGTGGATCATTTCTATAGGTTTGTACGTTTTCTTCGTAGAAACGTATTTACCTAATTAGCTTGCATTCTTAAACTTTGATTCGTTTTATCTAAGTATTGTTTTCTTATACGACTAAATAAAAAATAGGTGCTTACGTGTCTAATATTTTTTCGTTACTTAACTGACGGAGTAAATAGGTTTTTAATTTTCATATCCCTGTTATTTTAGTGAACAATTTAACAACACGTAAATACGTGGGAGATAGCGCCATGTGTTACCATCACATTCTGTTATAAAGCAAAAACCTTCAAGACATGGGTGGATAAAAATAAAAGGCTCATAAAAATGTATGAGAAACACAAGATGCGCAGCTAACAAGAGGAGCTTTATCGCCATTCGGCACTCGGCACTCGGCACTCGGCACTGCTAGTTATTCCGCGTCACCGGTAATTGTGACAAATGAACGTGTTTCGTTATACTTACAAAATAGTACGCCAGCGAGAAATACGAACTTTTCCCGCGAATAATACACGTAATTGATAGACAAATGGCAAATGTTTTTGATATCTTTTCCTGGTGTTGCTACTTAGATATGAGAAATATTGTTCTATTAGATTTTTGTGGTGTAAAATATTGTTTTAAGTACACGTTGTAAGCTTTTCTCATGAATACCTCTATCTTGTTAAGAAAAATTGCATCAAAATCCGTTGCGTAGTTTTAAAGATCTAAGCATACATATGGACAGACAGCACAACGCGACTTTGTTTAATACTATCTATTGATGTACATACATCTGTAATACCTACCTAAGTGCTATATTTAGTATAAGGCTTCCTACCTCTTATGCCCATCTTACCATGTCCCATACAAATGTTTTAAATACAAATTTAAGTATGATTGCTATATGTAGCATAACTCTTAAATGATAAATGTTGACAATGTAATTTCATAATACAGTAATTGTATCGTGAACTTAACACTAATCCTAGACATTAGCAATTATTGTCCAATATCGTGACAACTCAACCCTAAATTGCAATCGTATACAACAAACGTAACATTCGGGCACGTGGGTCGAACGAACCCATTGAAAAAACTAGGCACGCGCCATGTCGCAATAGAAAGACGTCGTTAAACAAAGAGGCTATTGTGCCCGAAACGATCCCGGGTGGGCAGTTATTGTACAAATACGGCTGATTCGCGGAATTTGCAGGGAGACGCTTAAAATTTGCGGGAAAAAATGGCGCGCTCGGGTGGAGACAACCGATTGTGTGCGATAGGGTTGTTACCTCAGCCGCTTGCAATGTTTTGGGGTTGTATTCGCAAACGATTCTAGCAACAATAGTTCGTTAGTATTTTATTTTTATGGATCACTCGCTGGTAATGTAGATAAGGTTTAATTAAGTCTTTTATCTAAGACAACTTCATTGTTGTTCACTTTTGGATCACAGTTGTTTTAGTTGTTGACTACTAGGTTACTGACTACAAAAACTTTCGTAGTTATGATACATAATTTATTTGTGTGTTGACAAAGTACAAAACAGTAGCACAATATATAAACAGGTAAGTAAAAGGTTTAACTGGTAACTGGTAGCCCTAACGTGTCTCCATTCTCTGTTATTAATAACGGCAGCATATTACAATTCAATTTGAGCGGTCCGCCCGCGCCGCCGGCTTCAACCAGTAATCCTTGCGTATAATCTGCCAACAGATAAACTGAACACAATTATATTAAAAGCCAACATGAAAATTTTGCCAAATCTCTGGCAAATGCTATTAAATCGACGTCTAATAGCATTGTCAGCTGTTACACACATATTAACGTATTTCATGCATTAACGTATTTGTGCATCGATTTTAAATGTTTATCTTAATGATAATATGTATTTAGTTAAGTATGCTTATAACTTACAATGATGAGTCTTGTTTTTGACTAATTGAAGACAATACGAACGACCTTAGGGAAGGTTATATGTACTATTTTGGTAGGTGTAATAAATCATTGGTTGCACAAAATATAGACTGGTAACAGGGGTTTGGCAATTGTCTAGTCGAGGCTATGCAAACGTCGTGCGGTAAGCTTTATTCTTCCTATGATTGGGGTAAAGGACTATACGTAGAACAGTAACGCTGTGGAATGAGCTTAAACCTTTTAAACAGTGATCCTTTTCCCGCCTGCCAAGAGTTTTTATAGAAATATTCATATTTTTTTTATTTAATCTACCTAAGACATTCAATAGTATGTACAAACAGATTAATAACTTCACTTTGTGAACGAAAGATGTGCTAATTTCTGGAACTATATAGGTTAGGATTCACACTCTTTTTGTGTTGTGTGTGAAGACCATTAGTCATAAAATATTAAGCTATGACCAATTGAAGCTAAGCAGCGGGTGGGATCGCGAGGGAGTAGTCAGTATTTATATTAAATGCACCTTTATTTACCTTGTAAAAGAATGAATGACAAGACTTAAGTGGAACCAGAAAAACGTCACAGCAAAGACTCAAGTAATACGTATTCCATACATTATAATATATCGTGGAAGCTGAAGTAAACAATCTGATATATTTACAAGTGTTCACGGTTCAGATGTTGCGGGTATCGGTTCTCTCATTTGATGTAATCGGTTTAGTTTAGGCAATGTTATTTGTCGGTACAGTGGACGCCCTTAGTTGCGAGCTTAAGTAAAAGCTGCAATGATTGTTGTCGAGATTCCTCAAATATTCAATATGTATAACTCATATTATAGAGGTACAAGTAAATTTATGTACTGTATATTGACGTGAATATATTTTTAACCAAAAATGACACTTTTGTAAAATATTAAGTAAATCGTAGTTTAAGATAATTAGGACTATAAACTAGTCTTATATTAATATCTGTAATTGCTTGTTTACGGGTAAATAAATGAATCACAATTCTACGGGTAACGTATACCGATCTAATCTTACGATTAATTATAAACATGCTAAGATAATAATTATTTAGTTTAAATAAGAGATAAATGCAGTTCCATGTTCCCGCTAACGTTGGTAGACATAACTAAAACTGTGAAGGCTCCAAGGCGAGGCTTCACTTAATTGA